GAGAGACTCTGTCTAAAAAAAAAAAAAAATTAAGTATTGAAAATCATTTTTTTTTCTTTTTTTTAAAAGAGTCTTGTTCTGTCACCCAGGCAGGTAGTGGCAGAAACACAGTATGCAGCAGTGAAAACAGCTCACTACAGCCTCAACTACCTGGATTCAAGCAATCTTCCTGCCTCAGGCTCCTGTGTAGCTGGGACCACAGGCACATGTCACCATGTCAGGCTAATTTTTTATTTGGTGTAGACACAGTGTCTCTCTTTGTTGCCTAGGCTGGTCTTAACTCCTGGGCTCAAGCAATATTCCCACCTTGGCTTCCCAAAGTGCTGAGATCACAGGCATGAGCAACTGCGCCCAGCCTGAAGATTTTATCTGAAGGTCAGGCTGATTTCCCAGAAAGAATCACAATGATATCTTCTAAGAAATCCAGTGGAAGTAACTGTATTATCAAATATGTAATATATGAGTAAAGAGTGGTTTAAAAAATTTATGGTTTTATCTGACTAAATTTTAGTCCTATTTCTAGGAGTAAGTTAATTTTTTAAAAGTATAAATCTAAGAAAAAAAAAGTGTAAATCTAATGTATACCAGTAAGAAGGATTTTAATTTAATTAATTGAAATTTTTTGAAATAAATAAATTAAAAATTAAATTAAAATTTAGGCTGGGGTGCAATGGCACGATCTCAGCTCACTGCAACCTCCGCCTCCTGGGTTCAGGCAATTCTCCTGCCTCAGCCTCCTGAGTAGCTGGGATTACAGGCACGCACCACCATGCCCAGCTAATTTTTTGTATTTTTAGTAGAGATGGGGTTTCACCATGTTGACCAGGATGGTCTCGATCTCTTGACCTCGTGATCCACCTGCCTCGGCCTCCCAAAGTGCTGGGATTACAGGCTTGAGCCACTGCGCCTGGCCGGATTTTAATTTTAAAGAAATCTAAGAGAGTGGGCTCACGCCTGTAATCCCAGCACTTTGGTAGGCCAAGGTGGAAAACCTGTCTCTACTAAAAATACAAAAATTAACTGGGCATGGTGGCGCATGCCTTTGGTCCCAGCTACTCAGGAGGCTGAGGCGGAAGAATCGCTTGAACCCAGGAGGCAGAGGTTGCAGTGAGCCAAGATTGTGCCACTGCACTCCAGCCTGGTGACAGAGCAAGACTCCATCTCAAAAAATAAAAAAATAAGAAAGTGTAACTGTCTTAAGACAGTTACACTGTGTTAGAAGTGATTTGGGAATACAGGTGCTGATGTTGGCCAAAGACCCAGTCAGGCTGTGCAAGCATGTCAATAAACATCTATGTCCAAGCAATGGAGAAAATTCACAAACACAGCACAAGAAGGAGACCCCCATGGCAATGAGAGTTATGTCAAAGACAGAGAGAAAAAGGAAACCAGATAATTCAAAACAATAAATTAAAAAGAAGAAAAAAGCTGCAGGCATGAAGTAAATCTCCACCTCAAATGAGCATTTCTGACCTGTGAGTAGCCACCTGTGAGTAGCATGGGGTCAGTTTCGTGGGTTTTGACAAACACTGAACACAAAGTAGAAAAAGAACTTCCATGTCAAGATGGTGGATGGAAATACACATCTGATAGCTTGTACCCCTAAAAAGTTAGCCCGACATGGTGACATGTGCCTGTGGTCCCAGATACACAGGAGCCTGAGGCAGGAAGATTACTTGAATCCAGGTGGTTGAGGCTGTAGTGAGCTGTTTCCAATGCTGCATAAAAGTACAGCTCAGCTAAAACTACGGCAAAGGAATTCAAACATAGACGCGTGCGTGCTCGTGTGCGCGCGCACACACACACACATGGACCAGGAAGACAGGTATCAACCACAAGTTTGGAAGCTGCAAAGCATGTGGACAAGTGGCAAAGGATCTGAAAGCGAGTCCAGACCAGCAGTGGGGAAGGGTGAGAAATAATGAGGTGTGCAGCAGACTTCTCCAAAGACTTGGGCACTGACATCCCCAGATGCTGTGGTCCTGAGGGAGAGGGAAGGCACACCTGAATTAAGGAGCCGGGGTAAAAGGTGCTCAAGGTACAAATGAACCCCTAGATCCCTGTCCCCACTCAAACCTGTTCTCTCTCAGCAGACATTGGGATGCTTCTCTAGAGAGGGTAAGACAGAGGGCTCTCTAACCTGGGAAATATCAGGCATAGCTGGACTCAGATACAACTAGAAACAGAGTAGGTGACTATATGCACACACACCGTTTCCACTCAGCTACCAATGCTGACATCAGGCCTCTACTCTCCAGTCTGGAATATTCTTCTCTAGGAAGGCAGACCAACCAAGAGAAAATACTTTAACACACTGACCTCAGGGATCCCTCGACTAACAGCCCATCCAGATACCCCACAGTAAAAGAACCTCTAATTTGAGAAGGCCCATCCACTTCTGTGGAACTTCCAATCAGCATTTCCAACTCTCTTCTCTTTATCATAAATAATCAAGGGTTAACGGGCACTTGAGAAAAACCTCTAGTACGAACAAACAGACCCGAATAAACAGATTAGAGGAACTTAGAATGGTACGTGCTGTGGATTCTTTTAAAACTTAATTTTTTTTCAGAGATCTCCACTCAAAACAAAACCAAAACACCAAGAATGTTATTTAGAAATGTTTTTAAAAAGCTCTTGGGAGGTCCTTGGGCCTCACAACATACATGTTTAAGGCCTTGCCACCTACTTCGGGGCATCTAATTATCTATACATATATAGACATCTAATTATATACATTACATATAATTATAGATATCTAATTATATATATATTCTTTAGTTATATTACATCTAATTATATATATATATATACATAAATATATTCTTTTATTTAAGTAAAAATAAAGCCTTTTTTTTGAGATGGAGTCTCACTGTCACCCAGGCTGGAGTGCAGTGGGTGTGATCTTGGCTCACTGCAACCTCCGCCTCCTGGGTTCAAGTGATTCTTCTGTCCTAGCTTCCCGAATGGCTTGGACTTGCAGGCGCACAGCACCATGCCTAGCTAATGTCTGTATTTTTGGTAGACGGGGTTTCACGGTGTTGGCCAGGCTGGTCTTGAACTCCTGACCTCAAGTGATTAAAAAATGCACTAGGGCCGGGCACAGTGGCTCATGCCTGCAATTTTAGCACTTTTGGGAGGCCCAGGTGAGTGAATTGCTTGAGGCCAGGAGTTCGAGACCAGCCTGGGCAACATGGTGAAACCCTGTCTCTACAAAAAATACAAAAAAATTAGCTGGGTATCATGGCATGTGCCTGTAGTCTCAGCTACTCTGGAGGCTGAGGTAGGAGGATTGCTTGAGCCCAAGAATTCAAGGCTGCAGTGAGCCATGACTGTGCCACTGCATTCTTCCGTGGGTGACTAAGACCCTGTCTCAAAAAAAAAGAAAAAAAATCAAGCTCTTGGAAATTAGAAGGTATGATGGTGGAGGAAAAATATCATAGGATTAGAAGGTAAAGGTGAAGAAACAGAGTAATAGAGATGGACAAATAGGAGTGAAGAGATAAAGTGGAAGGTCAGTAGAGGAGTTCTGACATCTGAATGATGAGGATAAGAGAAACCAGCAAAAAAACAGAAATCAGAAAGAGAAATCAGCAAAAAAAAGGGAGGCAATTATCCATGAAGTCATTACATTCCCCAGGATTTAGAAAATATGATTTTGATGAAAAGGGTTCAGTGTACCAAGGACAGAGGATGGAAACATCCTCTCCAAGGCACGTGATCATGGGGCAGAGGAAAATAAGGTTCTAAGAGTTACAAGAAAGAAAGGGGTCACATACAAATGTCTGCTAGACCACAGACCAATGCCTTCAAAATTTCAAATAAAAATGTTACCTAAACACATGCTGTTAAAACTGTCAATAATGGGAAAAGAGAATAAAGCCATTTTCGGACCTCAATTTTATCTCTTACACAGGGAACCTACTCAAGGATGCATGCCACCAAAGAGAGGGAATAAGTCAAAAAAGGAATACCCAGAACACAGAAAATAGGAAATTTAACAGAGGTAGGAGGCAAAGGGAATCACCAGGGTGGTGGTATGCAAAAGTCAATGGAACCACAGAGATCTCCCACATGGCTGAGACTATGAAGGTATCATGTTCTTAACACAAATGGCTTAAACACAAGCTACATGACTCTGATTATCTGAGCAAGAGCATTGTTTCCAAAACTGAAACACAGAAATTAAAAATCTGCCTGAATTCCACAGATTCTATATAGTCCTATACATTTCTCTATGCAGGTGCACATGAAGCTGGTAATAGCAGTGGCCGTGGCTGGGTGCCATGGCTCACACCTGTAACCCTAGCACTTTCGGAGGCCAAGGCAGGTGGACTGCTTGAGCTCATGAGTTTGAGACCAGCTTGGGCAACACAGTGAGACCTTGTCTCTATTTTTAAAAATAAAACACAAACCAAACAGTAGTGACCTTTAGGGCAGGTAGATTGTGGGCTCCTAGGAAAGAGATGAGGAGAATGACTTTTCACCATTCACCCTTTTATTTTTTTTTTGACTTGTTACTGCAAGTAGTACTTGTACAACAATGAATGTATTCCCTAATTCAAACAAGAATGGAATGAAAAATATCTGATCATCATATATTACAAGGATATTTTACAAAATGTAAACATATAAAACTAGATTTAATACACATATAATAGGGTCACTATGTGTTAAAGAGGTTATGATAGAAAATGTTTCTTACTGAAGGTTGCAAATAAATGTGAAAGCAATAAACCAAGTACTTTGGTAGAGACCTGCTTTCCTACAACATTGAGCATCCACTGGGTACTGGGCAATCCCAGATCTGAGGTGTTTGTACCCTTGTATGTGGAGGTGCACATGGAACCAAACAGCCCCACCTGGTGCTAGTATTCCAGGTGCAGTGTCCACTCGTGTCTGCTCTAGGCCCGCCACTGTAAACTGCTAGGAAGGGCCTCTGGCTTTGTGTGAGAAGACCACTATAGGGAAACTTTGAACAAAATAAAGATGACAAAACATCACTGTTGTATCATTTTTTAATTTTAAGGAATATTTTCTAAAATTATTAATAAAGTCATAGGTTTATTCCAGTATTTTAAAATATTTTCTGTACCATTCCACTCAGAAGGTAGATAAGCACAGAGTTCTTCCCTAAGGAAGGGTGCAAATGGAATGCAATATATTACTGTATATATTATTCTACAGAGTACTGTAGAATACAAACTGTGAAGAAAAGGAAATTTAATTATTCAGTTTTTTCCTCCTACATTGTTTCTGCTGGAGAACTGCTCACTTAACATCCTAGAAGCTATCTTGTTGAGATTTGCTATCCCCATTGTAGGAGTGATGAAACTATCCACAGCAAAATGAATGTGGCACTGCCAACATCCATCCTGTGGGACAGCTAAAAAGACAAGCCCTCAGTAGCACACGCCAACCAATCTATTAGAGCAAGCATGCCCATGTCTATTCTGCCAAAATCCTCCAAGTTAATTTTTAAATGGCTAAAATACAATCAAGATCATATGGGAACTGCACTTGGAACTACAAACATCCTCTGTTCATAAACGTTCACTGTTACAGTAACGGCATCTTGGGACGGTCAAGGACACAATCACATTTTTAAAAATCAAGAACAAGAAGTAAACAGAAAAGGGCATTTGCATGAGGCAGAGAATCCTGTTTCTTGGCAGCAGACAGAAAACTGGCTAAAGAAATAGGCTCACAGATAGGTACAAATCTACAATTTGATTCTCTGAGTATTAGCCTTGGAGACATAGCTATACACATCCCCAAACACAGCCTACTATTTTGCATTAGTAGTTTCTTAAACAGTTGGAAGAAAAACCTAACAAAACCCAACCCAAATCATATTTATTAACCACTTTAATAAGCCCTTTATTCTTTCTCAACCACTTTATTTCAAGTTTGGTCAGTGTAATCATGAGACTATCTAGCCTAATAGTCTAGAGAAAATTCTCTGGTTCCAAGATGATGCCTTGCTATGTAGCCATTAATTATTAAGCTCCTAGTAAACCCTGAATTAGATATAGAAATGTGCAAAACAATGATATATTTCCAAGAATGTGAAAAACAGAGGAGATTTAAGGCAAATGGTAACTCTAAGAGTCACACGAGTATTATATTGGCACTCTGGAAATGGCTCATAGCAAAATCTAATTTTCTCTCAGATGAGGAGGCCAGCACAGTGGCTCATGCCTGTAATCCCAGCACTTTGGTGGGGCTGAGGTGGGCGGATCACTTGGGTCCAGGAATTCGAGATCAGCCTGGGCAACATGGCAAAACCCTGTTTCTACAAAAAAAAAAAAAAAAAAAAAAAAAAAAAAAAAAAAAAGAAACAAAAGAAACAAACAAACATTAGCCAGGTGTGGTGGTATGTGCCTGCAGTCCCAGCTACTTGGGAGGCACAAGGAGGTGGGAGGATCACTTGAGCTAAGGAGAGAGAGATGACAGTGAACTGAGATGGTGCCCCTGCATTTCGGCCTGGGCAACAGAGATCCTATTTCAAGGAAAAAAAGAAGGAAGAGATTGGGGGCTGCATGCATGCATGGTTAGGCTACACTGAGGAAATGTTCCTCTTATGGACCCACAGAAGAAAAATGACTTTTAGAGGCATGTAGCTTGCAATTAACTGTAGCAAGAGTCTAGCTCCCTCAACCCCACTGTGTGGCCAGGAAAAGACAGTGAAAACATTTACTTGAGAGGTGAAAACTACAAGGAAGCTACCAGCTCACTGTGCACGGGTGAGAAAATGTCATGGTAAAGGAGCACCACGTGTTGATTTTAACAGCTTTTTCTAACTGTTCTGTCACACACCACAGAAAAACTGCCCCCCACCCTCCAAAAAAGAAGTCATAAGAAAAATCAGATTCATAATAGAAAGTATACATCCAAAGTAGGCAAAAAATACTGCTTATGTTTTCATAACTGTTTGTTTTCAAAATATGCCACATAATTTCACTATAAAATACCTGGATTTGCATGTGACTTAGTACTTATTTCATATTAACCAGATTCAGCTGCTTTGATAAATCTGTGTATTTTAGAAAAATCTGTTTTGAAAAAATATTTTTAAGCCAGAGGATAAACCTTACATTTGTGCATCCATGTGTAAAGCAATCCTGCCTGGCATTATGGAGCCGAGATACTAAAAGATTAATAACGTAATTTTAAAAAGCTCCAGTTACAGACTAACATATAATATATTTTCTCAAATTTTCTAGGCTATACCACTGACTTGTATTAATGCAATCTGAATTTTCAGATATAAGTATCAGTCAATGGTTGGCTGTTACAATTTAAAAGCAATAAAGTTGGAAAGACCTTCAAAACATTGGCCACTAAATCATAAGTAAAATTATTCTTAGAGCTGGACTATTGTAAGTGGAGTACCCTAACTTTTCTTAGTTCATATGCTGCAAATTGACTCTACCATTCATAATCACGCCCTTTTATGTGCTTTAAGCGGACATACTGACTTTGCAGTCTATACTTTGTAACAGAGCAGGTAGCTCTAGCACAGAAGAAACGATGTAATGCGGAACTGGGGAGGACTTCAGTGGCACTACTCCATTTTTATTGATCCAGACTGTTGCTTTCAATCCCGCATTGAGGCCTCCTTGGATGTCGGTTTCTAATGTGTCACCGACCATCACACAGTCCCCAGGTTGTACTCCGAGAAGACTGCAGCAGTAATAAAATATGGACGGTGCTGGTTTCTCCTCTCTCTGCTCTCCACCTACAACAACAGCGTCAAAATAGGACTGACAGGCACAAGCTTCAATCTTCTCCCTCTGGGTCTGTTTGTCCCCATTTGTTAATAGCAGTAGGCGGACCTCCTTTCGAAGTTCAGTGAGCATGGCTTTGACATCTTCTGCTAGTGTCATATGCTGTAAACGGGTAGATTTCCAAAGGAAGTAACATTCTTCAGCCAATTTTCTATTGGCTGCTCCACCTTTTGTTTCCTGGATTGCTTCTTCCCAATGTGAAGTCCTTAGATCAGTAATGCATGTATTGTAAGGATGAAAACATTCCTTGCTGAGTTTAACTTGAACTTTATCACAGATGATTTCAGCCTCTTCTTTATAATGGTATTTTGATTGTAAGAGCTTTATCACCTAAATAATGGAAAACAACTCCATTAACACACTGCAGGTCTTTCCTAGTCATGCCCTAGGAAGCTGTGACCCTACAAGTGGCTGAGAGATTACAACTTCACTCCTCTGCTTTTTGCTTTTTTTTTTTTGAGATGGAGTCTTGCTCTGTCACCCAGGCTGGAGTTCAGTGGCATGATCTCAGCTCACTGCAACTTCTGCCTCCCGGGTTCAAGCAATTCTCCTGCCTCAGCCTTCTGAGCAGCTGGGACTACAGGTGCACACCACTACGCCCAGCTAATTGTTTGGATTTTTAGTAGAGACGGGGATTCACCATATTGGCCAGGCTGGTCTCCAACTCCTGACCTCATGATCCACCTGCTTCGGGCTCCCAAAGTGCTGGGATTACAGGTGTGAGCCACTGTGCCTGGCCCACTCCTCTACTTTAAAGCAGGTATTAACCACACCATTTCTGGTGGGAATTGGCCTTATTTTTAGAGAGAAGGTGAAAGCTCTCCCAACCTCACCAGAACTCACTTATTTTTAAAAACCAATTTCTTCATATATAGCTAATAACAATCCTTTGTTTGGCAGTTTAGAGTTCAACCATCTTTCACTCTGGACACAAAGACATGAAAATAAAACTTGTGCTTGTTGGGCTGGGCATGGTGGCTCATGCCTGTAATCCCGGCACTTTGGAAGGCTGAGGTGGCAGGATCGCTTGAGCTTAGGGGGTTCAGGAACAGCCTGGACAGCATAGCAAGACCACATCTCAAAAAAAACAAAAAACCTTTGTATTTATTTTTGGTAAAACATTTAAAACTTCTGACAACCACTAGTTAGACTATTCTCAGAAAAAAATAACATTTAATTCATATAATCTTTTCTCATCTACATCCACTTCACATTTTGAAGACCTAAATGCACTAACATCTAGAATGGGATCCAATTCTGTACTTTTTTTTTTTAGACAGTCTCATTCTGTAGCTTAGGCTGGAGTGCAGTGGTACCGTCTTGGCTCACTGCAACCTCCACCTCCCAGGCTCAAGGGATTCTCCTCCCTCAGCCTCCAGGGTAGCTAGGATTATAGGCACCTGCCACCACACCTGGTTAATTTTTGTATTTTAGTAGAGACAGGGTTTCATCATGTTGGCCAGGGTGGTCTCAAACTCCTGACCTCAAGTGATCTGCCTGCCTCGGCCTCCAAAGTGCTGGGGTTACAGGCATGAGAGCCACTGTGCATGCCCAATTCTGTACTTTTTTTTTTTTTGGATACAGAGTTTCGCTCTGTCACCCAGGCTGGAGTGCAGTGGTGCGATCTCGGGTCACTACAACCTCTGTCTCCCGGGTTCAAGTGATTCTCCTGCCTCAGCCTCCCGAATAACTGGGACTACAGGTGCCCCTCACCATGCCTGGCTAATTTTTGTACTTTTAGTAGAGGTGGGTTTCACCATGTTGGCCAGGCTGGCTAGAACTCTTGACCTCAAGTGATCGTCCTACCTTGGTCTCCCAAAGTGCTGGGATTATAGGCATGAGCCACTGCGCCTGGATCTAGTTCTGTACTTTGAGTTAAGTACACCCTCTCTCATGTTCCCAAGGCTCTTTATGTGTGCTTTTATAATACTAATCCATTTGGCCTGTCTTCTAACTTTTCCTAAAAGCCCTAACGTGGCAAGCATTGTACCATATAGTTAGTACATTATTTCTAATCTTTTCTACAATCCTGCAAGACAGCTCCCTGTTCGAGATGAGGCAGGGAAGTATAGAACTTTATAACTTGCCCATCTAACTTGCATCCACACACCTGAGTACTTCCAAAGCTACATGCTTGCCTGTGCACTATGTCTTAGGCTCTGGAGACTGGCCCTTGTCCTTGGGGTGTTATCTGGTGTGAATATAACATACAACCACTACAAATGATGGGGTATGGGGGGGGGGTGCCATGAGAGTAGTTTAAACAAGCTGTGGAAAGAATATGGAAGTCATTCCACAGGGTAGCTGGCAGAGAAAGTCACATTGAGACCAAGGAATAAACAAGCAGAAAAAGTGGGTATGGGAAGAGAAGAAAATCATTCCAGACAAAGGAACAGCATGAATAAAGGCCAAAAGTTTATAATTTTGTGGGAAAAGCAAGAAGCTGAGTTGAGCTCAAATGGAGGCATGTGAGGGAGGCTGCCAAGAGATGGAACTGGGGAGCCTGCCTGCGTTTGTGAGGAGTCTTGAACCCCATGCTGTAGCAGGTGCTGAAGAAATCCCCTTGGCACACACTATATACACTGGTCAGTGGCTTCCCACTCCAAGTATGGGCCTCTCGAATTGTGGGCTTTATTTGGTCACACACAAGGGCATCTATACACACAGGATGGGGCTAAAAAGTGTTGCCCTGGGAGCAGCCCTCAACCAATGTTGGGTAGAAAGTGGAGAATAAATATCACAGCTTCCTTGCCCCTTGGGGAGTACAACTGAATCCTGTTCTGTGTACTGTCTCCTAGAGCTGTTCTGCAAACAGCTGCTGCTCACAGCAGTAATCTGCTCATTAAGCTGCTCTAACCTGTACTGAACTCCTTCCCCCTCCTGTTTCCCCGACCCCTTAATGTGTGTCCCGGGATCACCTCATGAACTGTATGCACTTGACCCTTTAACGTGTGTCTTGGGATCACGTCATGAACTGCCTGCACTGGAAGTCCCTGCATTCAGGGAGCATCTGAGGAAAGTCAACCACCCTGGGCAATGCTGCATCTTTGAAACGTATCCAGCTAGGGCTAAAATATATCTGTTGTAAGGAAACTAGGGAATAAGCAGTATGCTACTCACACCAGAAACTCAACTCACCTATTGAGAAAGAAACACATATGTTTTTCTTCCCTCAGAGTTAAATAATCTCAACAAAGGAAAAAATTTTTTTTGGAAACAGGGTCTCACCATCACTCAGACGCAGCCTGGAGTGCAGTAGAGGAATGATGATAGTTCACTGCAGCCTCAAACTCCTAGGCTCATCTCCCTTCAGCCCCCTGAGAAGCTAGGACTACAAGCGCATACTACCATACCTAGCTAATAATTTCTTGTTGTTAGAGACAGGGGTCTTGCTGTGTTGCCCAGGACTGTCTTTAACTCCTGGCCTCAAACAATGCTCCTGCCTTAGCCTTCCAAAGTGCTGGGATTACAGGTGTAAGCCACTGTGCCTGGCTGAAAGGAAAATATTTTTTTAGGTATTTGTGCTAACTGGAAAATGCATCAGAAGACTTATCCATATCAGAAAAAGAAATATTTAAAAAAAGAAAATATAATCATTAAGAAAAATCTTATCTGCCCAAGAAAAATATACTAGCCCTAGGAATTTTACTTAGAGGCAAAACATCACAAATTTTTGCTTTATAAATTTCTATTAACAAATAAAGCTTTTTCAATCTTCATGTTTATCTCACCATCTTTGCTAGCAGGATCAATTGAATTACTGGTAAACTATGACTGACAGGAGCTCTAAAATTTCAGCAACCTTACTGCTGCGAAAGGACACATGCCTCTACGGCTCCGCAGAGCTTGAGCTCAAACAGGGGTTGGCTCATACCAATAAACACAGAGCTCCCAATACAGACCCAATTTCCTGTTACTGGAAGTGGCCTTCATTAAATACATTCTTGAGGCTCTGAAAAAGTAGGATTTGCTCACCTTAAAAGGGCGATGTTTGTAAAGGCATGGTATGCCACTCCCAAGTTTCAAAAATCTCTTCCTATTCTATCCCTTCAATTAACTTCCCCATTTTGTCACACAGCAACTAATTATAGATTGTCACACAGCAACTAATTACAGATTGGTTTGGGACGATAAGTAGCATTTTAACGATATTAACATTTTTAGGAAAAAAGGTTATCAGCATTCACTTACTACAGCTCTCTAACTTGGAGGCATGATGATACTGTGTGTGTGATTGGTAAGGCAAGTCTGAAAAAGATTTTGGTGTAAAGAGCCCACCAGGTGCTCGCTGGCCTGAAGAAAGGGGCTCTACTCTGACAGAGGGGCTCTCAGTAGATTAATTAATAAACTCAAACTTCATCCACTTCAAAACTCTATCTTAAGGCTCTCTCTGAACATATACAAAAAGGAAACTCGATTATTCTGCTGTCTGCTTCCTAGACCCAGAACTAAAGTTAATATTGTCAATACTTAAGTTTAGCTAACTGATTTTAAAAGACTTTTCGAGGGCTTAGTTTGGGAACCATCTAATACTTTACAACATTTTAAGAAAAGTGTATTCTGAATACTCATCATTTGGATGTGAAATGTATGGCAGGTGCACCTGACAGCATTAACTTACGCACACCCTGAGAATGACCCTGTGGTCTAGGAGGAATGTGTATCTGGGTTCTGAAATAATGAGTCCAAGAGTGACCAATCCAGAGATTTATTCTTTATCTATGAGGAAGACCTGAACCCTAGCCCAGCCCAATCCTGCAGAACTCAGGTTGCAGAGGAGATTGAGGCCCTTTGTTTTCCATTAAAGGAAGGTAGCCAGGAGGAGGAAACACTACATAAACTGCATTCCTTCTACAAGTGGCTGCAGTTTGTCCAGCCACCCCCACTGGACATCTAGCATATAAGTTCCCTCAAAAACCCGTTCTCGTTTGCTGGCTCCAGGTCTCTTCTTTAGCCTCTTGAACATGGTGCTATCCCTACTGAAATCAATAGAGATCCGGCACAACAGAAGGGGATGAATTCCAAATAAAACTTAATAATTTTAAAACACACTCACAAAGTGAGGACTGCCCGCACACAGCCTAGCAATTCAAGGAGCCCTTCTGATATTTTTATTTCAAGTCTGTGCTCAAACATCACTTACTCGATGAGGCCAAATTTGACCAGTCTGTTTAAAATGTTGATTTGTGCCAGGTGCGGTGGCTCATGCTTGTAATCCCAGCACTTTGGGAGGCCGAGGCAGGTGGATCACTTGAGGTCAGGAGCTTGAGACCAGCCTGGCCAACACAGTGAAACCCAATCACTACTAAAAATACAAAAATTGGCTGGGCGTGGTGGCAGGCGCCTGTAATCCCAGCTACTGAGGAGGCTGAGACAGGAAAATCGCTTCCATCCGGGAAGTGGAGGCTGCAGTGAGCTGAGATCATGCCACTGCACTCCAGCATGGGCAACAGAGTTAGACTCCATCTCAAAAAAACAAAAAATTGTTGATTTGTTACCCTCTCCACTTTTTCTACCACAACTATAAATACTTAGTACATTCCTTGCCATACCCACTAAGAAGTAAATTCACAAATGCAGAAATCTCTTCTGCTTTGTCAAGTTTCTGTAGAAAAGTTCCTCTTGGGCACTTACCATGAAAAACAAGTCTAAAGAGGGAGTTAAAAAAAAAAAAAAACTTCCCTAGGTGATTAGAAAAAGTTGAAGTTAATACATACAGTTAGTATATGACCCCTTCTCCCCAACCCAAGGCAACAAATGGCTGGACCTTTCCCTCTTCCTCCATTCATATATTATTTACAATGATTTATGAAAGCTGGCATGTTACTTTTGAAGAGCTCAACATCCAGAATGTTATTGTTTCCTTACGTGATAAAGTATTCCTTGTTTAACCAAGACCACACAGTTCGATTCTGCTAATTTATTAGGCTCATTTCTTTTCCTGCTCATTTATTATTACACACTAATTATAAAGGAGGCAGTAACAGAACCAAGTCTCAAAGTAAAAATTTGTCTCCATCCATCCAGCATTTATTCAACATTTGCCATGTGTCGAATGAGGATAAATAAGACAGCTTGTTCCCTCCCAAGAAGCTCACTATTTAGTTGTAGCCACCTGAGTTGCAAAACTAATTGTAATACCCTTTGACAGGTGCGTTAAGAAATACCTGAACAAGGCCAGGTGAGGTGGCTCAAATCTGTAATCCCAACACTTTGGGAGGCTAAGGTAGATCACAAGGTCAGGAGTTCAAGACCAGCCTGGCCAACATAGTGAAATGCCATCTCTACTAAAAATACAACAATGAGCCGGGCATAGTGGCGGGTGCCTGTAGTCTCAGCTACTCGAGAGACCGAGGCATGAGAATTGCTTAAACCCAGGAGGCGGAGGTTGCGCCACCACACTCCAGCCTGGGCAACAGAACGAGACTTTGTCTCAAATTAAAAAACAGAAAGAAACACATATCTGAACAAAATACAGCACTAGTATAAGTGAGAGTGTAAAGAGCAGGGAAACATACAATTTAATCTTTGTTTTAAAAATGTTGCTGTGACAAGAAATAACAAGTAAACTTAATAAACATTTATAGAACTGGCCACTTAAAACACACAAGATATGCACTCTTATCAGTACCACATCACACCTACTCACAGGTTTGAGTGAAATATTGGTTGGCCATTATTAAGCACGATTGATGGTATAAGGGAGGTTTTCAATACCCATTTTTAGACTGCATAAAAAAAAGTTGCTGTGGCCAGAATGTGGAGTACACACCGGATGTGGTAACCCTAAAGGCAAGCCCACAACAGGGTAGGTGAGAAATGAGCTGTAACTGAGACAGGGCATGGGGAGTGCACAGTGGACAGGCTGAGGAACGAGGGTGAAAGGTGCTATAATTCGCTGAGTGGACACTGCACCCACGGGCTTCCCGAGCATTATAGGGTTATTGAGGACTAATAAAATTCACATTTTATGAAGATATAACGCTCCAAGTGGTTAACTCGTTAAGGCACTTTCAGCTAGGTTTTGAGAGAGCTGTGATTCATATTCAAATGTCTGATTTTAAAGCCCAACCAGTTGGCCTATAGCAAGAATTGGCCTAAAGGAGTAATTTAATTGAAACGCATAGGGCTTAGCTTGCTAATAACACATAGGTAAATATGCAATGTCCACAGCAAGATACTAGAAGCAATATGGCACACGGGGGCACCGCTGAGGTGGAGGCCAACGTTATATAGTAATATAATGTGGAATGCCTCAGTAAAGTCATGGAGACAGACTTAAAAACTTCCACGGATTCCGGCAATTTCGGACTGCTTAGTGACCCAGCAAGTCTATTTCAGTCTAGTGGTGAAGATGAAGTGACACTACGATGGATTTAGTAATAAACAGAAGCTAGAGACAAGGAGATAACGGGTATAGAGTTCTCCAGGAAAACATGGCTGTCAAGAGAGACAGGTATCTACAGCAGGAAGAATAGTCCAAAAGGAGGCGTCCTTTTTACATTTAAAAACAAAAACAAAGAACTATGGCAAACATGAATATGAGGCAGGAGTGGAATGCACCTAAAAAGAAAACGGATGAGGCAGTGGAAGATCCAGGGACACAAAAACTAACTGAAGCATGACTCAGGTTTGGACGAATTAGCTCTTGAATGTGGGTTTTTCCACATCTGATAAATCCTTTGCTTTCCCCTTACAGCTAAAGGCAGACAAAGGGAAGCTGGGTGGACCGGGGCTGGAGCAGGGGAGATGTGAAACCGCCTGCACCGCGCAGGGGAGCGGGGGCCGGGGAGCTGCGCCTAGGGAAGGGCATGCTCTCGCAGTACGGGCTTTTGCTGTGTCCCTGGGAAAGCCACGGGGACCACAACCCCTCCGGGGAGGCCAGAGGAGGTCTGCGGGGACAGTGCTCTACAGCAGGGCTGCAGTCCAAGCTCGCCGCTGACAGCCGTGTCACTCCTTGGGTTAACACTGGAGCTAACTCTACCACGTCTCCTCCCAGCACCCCTGAAGGCCGCGGGGGGACGCGACCCTCCCTCGAGCTGCACACCGACAGCCGGACCCTGGGCAGACCCAGCACCTGGTCTCGCGGCTTTGCTGCCGCTTCCCGCGCCCACGGGCGTCTCCGCCACCGTGGCAGCCGTCACGGCGCCCTTCCGCGTCCCGAGCGCCGAGGCACCTGCGAGCAGCCGCTCCGGGGTCCAAGATGGGTGGCAAGCGGCAGCCAGGCCGGGGAAAGCAGCCCCGCAGGGCCCGCACGCCTCCAGCCAACCCCGCACTCGGACGCTCCGAGTCCCAACAAGCAAGAGCGGCCCCGGGGTGAAAGTGGGGTCAAGGGGACGTGAGCGCGGAGGACGAAGCGGGGCGCACTGACCCCGCCGAGAGGAGCACCACGGCAGATGACGTTACCTCCAACATGCCTCTCCGGCTCGCCCCGGCAGTGTCGATGAGCGTGTTGTCCAAGTCAAAGAAAACGGCCCGAACGCGGCTCAACCCCATAGCGCCGGCCGCGCGCGCGCGACCCGTAGCCTTGCCTTCGCCACCCGCGCATGCGCAAGGCGGGCTGCCCGGGAAACGTGGGAGGAGCTGCGAGGTCACCAGACCCTCTCCCGGCGCTGGTGGAAGCCCCTCGATCTGTCTCATTCACTGCATCGCTGAGAACAGCGAGATCCCGCGAGACTCCGCGGATCTGGTCTCTCAAGAGCGGGAAGTCGTGCTTCCGCGCCGCTGGGTGCCGCGGTTTCTCAGTCAGTGGTGGTGTCTGGGGTTGGTCAGAAGCACAGTGCTCTTCCCCGGTGGCCACCAGCTTATCTCTTTCCTCCCTGAGCCCCCTCCGGCGCGAGGGACCGTCATCACTGCCCCGAGGGTGGTTGTCCGTGCTGCCAGGCGCCGGGGAGCGGGCCCTCCAGGTGGGCGGTCCGGCGGCGCGGAGACGCCGGCTTTGGTGGGTCCCGTGTCGGCAGCGAGCGCCCGCAGTCCTAGCCTGCCAGTGAGCCCAGGTCGCTGTCGGCTTGCGGGCGCCGGGGTCGGCGGGAGGTGGAGCCTGCGCCTTCCGGTCTCGCGGCCTGCGCGCTGTGCTCCACGCCCGTCGCCCGCAGTTTGCGGCCTTCGCGGGGTGGAATCCCTGTCGCCTGGGCACGCGCCGGCACGTTTTTGAAGGATGTGACTTCGGTCTTTTTTTTTTCTTCCCGAGACGGAGCTTCGCTCTTGTTACCCAGGCTGGAGTGCAATGGCGCTATCTCGGCTCACTGCAACCTCCGCCTCCTGGGTTCAGGCAATTCTCCTGCCTCAGCCTCCTGAGCAGCTGGGATTACAGGCACACGCCACCATGCCCAGCTAATTTTTTGTATTTTTAGTAGAGACGGGGTTTCTCCATGTTGACCGACATGGTCTCAATCTCTTGACATCGTGATCCACCTGCCTCGGCCTCCCAAAGTGCTGGGATTACAGGCGTGAGCCACCGCGCCCGGCCGGTGACTTGGGTCTTTTACAACCCTCGTTTGGCAGCTGTGCCCGAAGACGGAGTGGCCGCGTAGTGGCTGCCCCAGGTTTTGCCGTCCCTGGTTGCTTTCCTGAAACCTTGCATTCTCAGGTCTTCGAATGCCTTTCACTTAGTTGTTTTCAGGCATAGCAAGAGGCTGAGGGACGTCGACCGCCTGTTAAATTCGCGGAAGAGCTGTAGCAACTCTTTGCCTCCTGGTGCAGGCAGAACGGGGATGGTGACACTAATCTCTAATCTTTGTCTCTGTTGGGTAACTTTACTGTAATTTGGATATGTGGTCATCATTAGCGACCAGAAATTGACTGTCAGGTACTACAGGGCTACGGGCCAATTATCTGATTTTGTTTACACAGTGAGCTAAGAGTGGTTTTTCATTTTTAAATTTATTTTTATTTTTGAGGCAGAGTCTTGCTCTGTCGCCCAGGCTGGAGTGCAGTGGCGCGATCTCAGCTCACTGCAACCTCCGCCTCCCAGGTTCAAGCAGTTCTCCTGCCTCAGCCTCCTGAGTAGCCGAGATTACAAGCGCAAGCCACCACGCTTGGCTCATTTTTATATTTTTAGTACAGACACTTTCACCAGGTCGGCCAAGCTGGTCTTGAACTCCTGACCTCATGATCCGCCGGCTTTGGCCTCCTAAAATGTTGGGATTACAGGTGTGAGCCACCGTGCCTTGCCAAGAGTGATTTTTGTTTTTGTGTTTTTGAGACAGTCTCACTCTGTTGCCAGGCTGGAGTGCAGTGGCGGGATCTCCGTTGACTGTAACCTCTGCCTCCTGGGTTCCAGCGATTCTCCTGCCTCAGCCTCCCAAGTAGCTGGGACTACAGGCGCACGCGCCACCACGCGCAGCTAATTTTTGTATGTTTAGTAGAGATGGGGTTTCACCTTGTTGGCCAGGTTGGTCTCGATCTCTTGACCTCGTGATCCGCCAGCCTCGGCCTCCCAAAGTGCTGGGATTACAGGCGTTAGCCACCGCGCCCGGCCAAGAGTGATTTTTACATATGTAAATGGATTTTGAAAATCAGAACAGTATTTTGTTACACATGAAAATCATGAAATTCAAATTTTAGTGCCCCTAGTTTCGTTAGAATATGGCACACTCATTCGTTTCTGTATCGGCTGTGCCTGCTTTTGCCATACAGAAGCAGAGTTGAGTAAGTCCAAGTGAGACCACGTGGCTGGAAACCCTAAAATATTCATTATTTAGCCCTCTAGAGAAAAAAATTGCCACCCTCTAGCCTCACTGGTGGAACTCTTAACAGGCCGCTGAAGTCGCTAGGTTAGGTTAATTGGTTTATCTTTATATTAATAGGAGTTTCTTCTGCAGTGTTAGACTGCCTGCGGTTTCTATATTTTATGGAACACAATCACAGTTGACATCTCATTGCTTCTGTGGAGAATAAACCCATATGCATTAATTCCTCAAAACCATGACTCCTTTCTGTGGTTACCTCATTTTGATGTAAAGGGCTAGTCTATAAATCGTGGTCACTTAGATTAGCAATCGGCCAAAATTATGAGTGCATTAATTGGAGTTATTTTTAATTGCCTGAAATACTGGAATCGGTTTAGCATAAAACTGCTGTAGGCACAGGAAACTTATAGGATTGGAGCACGTTTTTTTTTTTTTTTTTCTGACTTGCATACAGAGTTTGTTAATTTAGGCACAAATCTAACCTTAGATGAGGCATAGCAGTCCCTTTTAAGGAGATGAGTTGTTTAACAAATTTCCTTTTTTGACAAATCATCTAATGGCATTCCATGACCTGTCCAACTTTGCTAGTTGAATAATGGCTAGATGCGATAAAACCTGACAGCTTTATTATTTTATTATTAACTATTTTTGAGAAAAAGTTTCACTCTTGTTGCCCAGGCTGGAATGCAGTGGTTTGATCTTGGCTCACTGCAACTTCCACCTCCTGGGTTCAGGTGATTCTCTTGCCTCAGCCTCCGAAGTAGCTGGGACTACAGGCATGCACCACTATTACTAGCTAATTTTATATTTTTAGTAGAGACAGACAGGGTTTTGCCTTGTTGGTTAGGCTGGTCTTGGACTCCGAACCTCAGGTGATCCGCCCACCTCAGCCTCCCAAAGTGTTGGGATTACAGGCATGAACCACTGCACCTGGCCGGCTTAATTTGTTTAAATAATAATATTCGAGACAGGCTCTTGCTCTATTGCCCAGGCTGGAGGGCAGTGGTGCAACCTTGGCTCCCCGCAGCCTCTACCTCCTGTACTCAAGTGGTCCTTTTTTTTTTTGTATTTTTTTCTGTTTGGGGGTGGGGTAGGGAGGAATGCCCACTGTAGCTCATTCTATATTTTGTTCTTCCTCATGTCGTGTGCAGAAAATTCACTTTTTTTTTTTTTGGCTGTAGACATGTGTTTCCAGTTTTTATAAACTCCTGCTAAACACTGAGCTCACTAGGTAATAACCTGTTTCCTCAAATGCCTAGCCTTGTATTTCCCAAGAAGCTACAGAAAACATGTTTAGCTTTGGAAAGTTTCTATACCACCACCACTACCTTAAAAAAAAAAATTTTTTTTTGAGACAGTCTCTCACACTATCGGCTAGGCTGGAGTGCAGTGGTGCAATTTTGGCTCACTGTAACCTCTGCCTCCTGGGTTCAAGCGATTCTCCTGCCTCAGCCTCCTGAATAGCTGGGATTACAGGTGCCCACCATCATGCCTGGCTAATTTTTATATTTTTAGTAGAGACAGGGTTTTGCCATGTTGGCCAGGCTGGTGTCAAACTCCTGACCTCAGGTGATCCTCTTGGCTAAACCTCTGAAAGTGCTGGGATTACAGGCGTGAGCCACCGCACTTGGCCTCACCATCACTATTTCTGAATGGAAAATGTGCCACAGCAAAGAAAGAGGTTTAGAGTAACACTGATTTGGGATTGATTCCCAGCTTCCTGAATTCCATGACTTGGCCCCTGAGCCTTTAGCCTCATCTGTAAGAGGAGAAAATACTTCTTTTTTTTTTTTTTTTAGGTGAGGTTGGGGGGGGGTAAGGGGAGGGGGAAATGGGGAATGCTAGGTTATGGGGTTTCTATTGGGGTGATGAAAATGGTCCTTTTACCAGATTGGCTGATTTTTTTTTCATTTTTTTTTTTTAGACAGGAGGTCTCCCTGTATTTCCCAGGCTGGTCTCAAACTCACAGGCTCAAACAATCCCCCTGACTCAGCCTCCCAAAGTGTTGGGATTACAGGTGTGAGCCACCACACCTTGCCCGACAGCTTTAATTCCTTCTAGATTAAATGTCTGGAAACTTCAGGATGTTACAATTAATATTTGTGGTTGAATGAGTCTTGTAGCATTTTAAGGTGGTGAGATGTACAGACTCATTACAGATGGACCTCAGTTTGTTAAGCACAGTACTTAAACTGGCCATTCTGATAGATTAACACTGGTAGTTAGTGGACGTCTTCAAATTTGCAGGAAGCGAGGTCTGAGTAGAAGATTTGTAAGTCACGGTTCTCAGTGGCTCGTGCCTGTAATCTCAGTACTTTGGGAGGTCGAGGCAGTCAGATTGCTTCAGGCCAGGATTTTGAGACCAGCCTTGGCAACATGGTGAGACCCCCATCTTTACAAAAAAATTTGAAAATTAGCTAGGTGTAAGGGTGTGCACCTGTGGTCCCATCTGTTCAGGAGATTGAGGTTGGAGAATAGCTTCGGCTCAGGAGATTGAGGCTACAGTGAGCTGTGGTCCTGCCCCTGCACTTTAGCCTTAGCGACAGTGAGACCCTGTTTCTTAAAAAAAAAAAAGATTCATGACTGTGAGACTTGCTCTAGAAGAAATGGAAATGGAACTGTAGTGATGCTTCTGCATTCTTCCCTCTGCAGAATGGCTCCATTGTTTGGCAGATGCTGATGCCCAGCATTGAGCCTGTCCTCTCCTGCCTTAGGGGAAGTCTCCCATGGCCCTTCCCACCCACCTCCCCTGTGCAAGTTCATTACAAATGAACAGCTTCAAGAGCAAGGTGTGCCTTCTGATTTAAAGTTTTCTCAGATTAGGGCATTGCCAGGTTGATAGAGGTGAAACAGAAGCAACCAGAGGAGAATCTCAGGCTCCCACATCTACCCAGATTCCACCAGCCCTCCTTTCTGTTTTTCACTGGATCCCACACTTTTTGAGGAGTATCTTTCAGCAATTCTTTCCTCCTCAGATTTGCATCTTCAGAGTTCTCCCACCAATTGAATCCACTCCACTTAGCATTTTATTGACACCACTCCACGGAAACTACTTTTTTCAGGCCACTAATGACCTTCACCTTGCTCTCCAATCACCATTCCCTGGCCTCTTCTTACTTGTCCTATCAGTAGCATTTGAACCAGCCAGTCACTGTTTTCTCCTAGATGAACTTTTTTTTTCTTTGTTTCTGTTTTTCTTTTTGAAATGGAGTCTTGCTCTGTTGCCTTTTGCTCTGACTGCAGTGGTGAGATCCTGGCTTACTGTAACCTCTGCCTCCCAGGTCCAAGCAATTCTTTTGCCTCAGCCTCCCAAGAAACTGGAATTACAGATGTGAGCCACTGTGCCCAAC